ATCCAAAAAAACCAAATTATTTGACAATCTTTCAATTATAAAATAATACACTTGATTATGATCAGTCGATCGGTTTTAAGGGCGCCCATACGCCAATGGGTTCGTTTGCCCTGATCGAAACTTTCTTATATCACATACGTGAGGCTATGGCGCCCCATCACTCTGCTGCACCCCCACTTTTAAAATCCTACATACGGCCCTGTCTAGAATCCAGAAAGGTCGATGCCCAGACACAATTCTCCCGCCGAACTGCATGCGTGCGTAACCACAGAGATGAAGTGTACATATTAATTTCAAAATGACCAAACTTGTGCGTTGATCTTTGTTGCGGTTCCTTAGAGGGTGATATCGCATACAAAAACAAACTAGAACTCCTGGGGAGTACTGACGTGTTTTGGTATGTCACGTCACGTCACGCCTTGTCACATCAACATTCAAGTTACACCATAAATTATTGAGTATAATAACATCCAATACCTAATAACGTGGAAAAACCTGTCATTTTGAACTCTTAATAAAACCGGGAGCTATACTTCATGACCGAACTTTTTTATATTGTTAGTAGACATCAGGGTCATCATACAAAGGTCAAGGGTCATGGAAAGATTAGGTCAAAGGTCATGGAAAGATTAGGTAACCAAACTTAGGTCGAAGTAAACAAAGTGAAACCGGAAGTAAACAAAATCGAAATTGAAACATTGGCTCTCTAAGGATTGTTGCCATTTGGAGTAGGTTCAATACAAAAAAAAGTTTTCGAAATTCGGAACTAAAATGGCGGCTGAATATCGATTTGAATGTTTTTTGTAAAGTCCAATATGGCTGCCAAGCGGTTGAAAATGTTATCAAACAAGGTGTTTGAAAATGAAAGATAATATCTGGGGCCAACACCACCATGCGTCATTTTTTGTCTGTTTTTAAAATGGAGAGAACTATTCATATTCGGGAAAACTGGAAGGCCGTGGTAATTTCCTGAAGCTGTCACATTTTTTTTTAATATGACATATTGGAGGCATCGATGTGTTTCTTATTCCTACCAAGTTTCAACTTGATACCTCAAATACTGACGGAGATATGCTATCTTGAATGTTGAAAAAAAATGATGAAGAAAACTTTCGCAAATCTTTCATGCTAATATTAATCGAGCGAACTTCCGAATTTCGAAAAACCGTCAGTCAGAGTCCATATGGGATTCGTCCAAAGAATCGAAAAATGAAAACCCGAAGAAGATCGAGATATGGGCAATCTGAGATGATTTTTTTGTCCCATCTGTAAAATACTTTCTGTTCGTCAAAAATGACCCAATTTATATTTAATAAATAGATCCACGGAGGCCAACCACATCTACGTTGGCAGAATGTTTCCGCCATGTACAGTTTTGGCTGCTCAAACTGACTACCCCCCCCCCCCCCCCGCAAAAAAAAACCCAATCACAAGCCAACAGTGAGGCTGATGTCCCCCGCCAAATTCCCAAAATAAATAGATGACACATTAATTAATCGCACATTTATTATTTTTTTTCAAACGTATCCAGCAATCAGACTGTTTATCAACTGTACACTAAGCAGAAAATTCTCATCTTCGAACTCCATCAAGGCATTGACCTTAATAAACACCTACGCCAAGTGTGAACATCCTAGCTCAATTAGAATGAGAGTTATTGTATTCATAAGTCTCGACCAATCAAACTGCTTACCCTGAGCAGAAAATGCTCATAATCGATCTTAGTCAAGGTATTGATGTAATAAAACTATACATCAAGCTTCATCACTCTCACTTAATTAGAACCAAAGTTAGCATGTCCCAAAGCATCAACCAATCAAATTTGTTATTTCTAATTACCCTAAACAGAAAATACTCATCCAGACACTCCATCAAGGCACTGACCTAATAAACACCTACACCAAGTTTGAACATTCTAGCTCAATTAGGAGGAGTGTAATTGTGTCCCAAAAAGTGTGACAGACAGGCGGACGAACCCATTTTAATAGTCCCCTGCTTTCTTCGAAAGGCGGGGGACAATAAAAACATTCACAGAAACGAACAAATGTAATTACGAACAAAATGACGCTTAACGTCCGGCGTGGTAATAAATAGACACGGACAAACACGCTATATATATTGAATAAATAATAGACATTAACGTCCGCTTCCTTCACGGGGTAACATCGCTACAAAATTTGAACAAATAAATAGTGAGTCCTAAAGAAAATGGTATTCACCGACGTGTTCTGGTTGCTTTGTAAACTAATCTTGAAAGTGGAGCTCCAATCAAAACTCGAAAAGATGAGCGTAACAAATTCCCTGGCGACAAGCCAACATGTCACGTTTCTGAAAGCTGTGGTGTAATCATGACAGTGTCATGTCATGGAGGGTCGTCACAGAAATCTCGTCTATTATTATAATGAGCAATCTACGGGTAATCTCGTCAGATCCGTCTGTTGAACTAAATTAACTGGGGATCAGATTCGTTGACAAAAGCTTATTCAGTCAGAATATCTTAATTAGAAGTCAAGAGAAAGGCTATCAACGTGCACATTATCAATAAATACTGAATTTTCAATTGAACTTGAAAAATTGGAAGTCAATTGAAGGCGTGTTCACTTTATCAATAAATAATTAACCCTCAATTGAACTACTTGGGTGTAATACTATTAGCCTTATGTTTCCCTAATCTCAGTAACACAAGTTTCTCTTTCGTGTTATATTTCTGGGATCTACATGTAAAACAGTAGGGTCACCTGTCCAACCCATACGAGCAAGCGAATTATTGAAATAAAATTGAACCTGTGTCAGTCCCGAAATGACCTATAGTTTGTGTCGAAGGGACCCCACCACCTGTGAAAAAATTGTCGACCTAAAAAACAATAGATATACATTGTCGGTCAATTTTACGACACACCTGAGAACATTTGCCGCCCGCTCGTCGCTCTGAGCTAGTTACGGCCCTGCGTAAAACCCCAAACGTTTTACTCGATCTTACTCCACGAGCCACGTGACTCCCGCGCGAGGACGTAAGATATTTATTAGACTTATCCAGTCGAAAAACATTGCGAAACGAACGTCAAATTATAGGTTAGTTGACATACATAAAATGAATTAAAACAATTATAAAATGGTCAGAACTGGAAGAATTGTAGACACACAAGAAGATTAAAGGTCACAGAAAGGAAAAATCATATTGGGAAAGCGGAAGTGATGTGCTTTTATTGTTTGATTTGGGTTATTTTAGACAGATTGAAAAAGGTTACTCGGGGTTAAGCTGCTGTTTACAAAAACTGCAGGAAACGTGTAATTTCAGCTATTATCTGTATTAGACGTGTCAGATCACGTCGACTTTCTAAATAAAGGAAATTACACATAGACAAAAACAAAGACTGACTTTACAATACTAAAATTGATATGGTTTATTTTTATATCATTCGCCATTAAGCAATTCCCCAAAACCATCTTATTGTATCTGTTTAATGTTTTGGGTTTGGGAGAATATACACAGGGTCAGAAGAGCGGGGTCTGATCAAATGGTCACGGAAATCATAGTACTTGTTTGTTGTGGATAAGGTGTGAAATATTGTGCCTCATTAGGGACCACCCACTGATTCCTTAGACTAGATATACAACACACTATATAACAATTCAACCCGATTCCACTTCTGAAATCCAGTCCAAGGTGTACCCTATTGAAAGAGTCATACACGAGGCAGTGCATATATGATATTATTTTTATAACACTTATTTACTTAGGAAGGTCATCTATATGGTCAGTTATTTACAACTGTAGATACTACTTAGTATTATAGAACTAAAAGTATGTTAGTGGATGCAGTTCGGAGCAGAACAGTAGGACGTTAACCCCCATTTTATTTCATTTCATTTAATTTCGTTAGTGGATGATATAGAACAGCAAATATAGACGTACAAAGACAATCCATGATACGTGAAGGATTATGCTATTAATGAAGAAATTTATACTAGCTTAACCCCAATTACACAACATTGATAACCCATCTTAATCCAACTTAAACCCAGGACACATACTTGGCAAACCAACATTGTCAACATCAGATTAACTATAAAATAATCAATACTGGCCTATTAATATTATTATATCATTTGTGGATCATAGAAAATAGGATTGAAATGTGTTTGCAGATACAAAAATAGTATGTCACCTCCGGGTACACTACAGTAGGCTATAAGCCAATAATCCCCTTTCTGACACCAATGTAAAATCTCTGAATAGAACAAAACAAAATATGATAATTAAACAGGTGTGTCTGGGTCAACCAATCCCACGTTTACCCCCTATGCTTCTGGAGATAGAGGTTTGGTCAATTATGTCCTGAAACATTGCCTGAGGTATTCGAGACCAACAACCCAATACAACTGTAACAACATCTGACACAGACATTAAATCAACCCATTTACAATCCAAACAAGACTCTAAAAACTTGAACAAAATTCGAAAAAGAAAACTTAATTCCGATTCCCTTAGAAGAACATGAACAGTAGCCTAATAAAGTTTCAGGATCTGAACTTCTTGTCGACGGAGTCGATTCAAAGCAATGGAAACAAATCCTGTAGCAGCAGTATCATTCATAAAAAAAACATGTAGGCTTCCCATTTCATAATTGTACATCAAACCAAAGGTAAATGCGGATGCTTGTTGATGAAGCTTACAACAATTTCCATTACAATAAACACGTTAAATTGGTCCAACAACTAAAACGCCAACTACATATTCTATCGATGACGTAATTTGACCTATATTTTTCTTTGTTTGAAATTCTCTTACTTTCAAAGGCTTTCTTCGCATCGGAAGATATCGCAAATTTATTAATCGTCTCATAAAAGGGTTTGTTGGGATATTAAAGTGTCATTTACACAGAAAGGTTGAATTTCTATTCGATGACGGCAGGAATGTGCTGGATTCGTAGCGAAACAAAGAACAAAATGGCGGCGGGTTGTCGTTTTGGGATGAAAGTTTTTGGATTGCCTCTCACCTGAACTGCCTGCGTCTACCACAGTAGTTACTCCCCGAGCAAGGCAATATTTATCAATGTTGATACCCAGGGGAGTTGCATATTCATAAGCATGTACGTGTAAATCAATTAATCCTGATAATATTAGACACTGTGAAGCATCGAAGACTGCTACATTTCCATTATCATGGCAGTCAGTGTTTATAGGTACACCGACGGAAATTATCTCATTTTTTCTCACATATACATCCCCAATCATATCTACAACACTATTGTTATTTATTATCCGTCCGTTTTTAATTATAAAGCTATCCGTGGCCATTTTCACTAAGCTATTTTGAAAGAATTGATTTTTATCCGGGGACGACTACTTGCCGTGTGCACGCTCAGCCATACATTACTATTCTAAGTAGGCCACATCAAAGTCACGAGACTGTATAGTCTTTTTCATTGTTTATGCATGTAAAAATGAAAATGTTGCAGGAATCTGAACACTGTTTGTTTTATATACACGATATAATATGGACATTGTTTTATATCCGCCCAATTCAACTATATCACATCCTATACATATCTGATCCAATAAAAGACATTTGCAGTTGGAACATTGAGATTAAAGACTGACCATGAACAGCCATGCAGGCTTGTTTCTTACCTTTTATTACTTTTTTGGTATATCAAATGTAATATTTTAGGCCAAATTTTAAATCTCACATTTTTATACGAAACATCTAGGATTTATTGGCATATTTTTTGTAGGCTAACAGCTGTATGTGGTACGAACAATTAGCACTAGCAGAAATTATCCTTTCGCAGAAAAAAAGTATCCTGTGGTCAATGAAATTTATACATGTTTTGTGTCAAAATACGTTAAATTAAGCCAGAAAACTCATTATGTTTAATTATGCCTTTTCTTGTATCAATACAGTAGAACTATAATTTGTTCTTTCTTAAACAAAAATTTAATAGAAATAGTTAAAGTGTGATAAATTGCTATATATTCATAGCGCTTGCTGGGGTTTTTCACTCCAACAAAATGAAACGGGCTATAGGTGCAAAGGTCAGTGCTGGAATACAAACCAAAGCGACGATGACGTCACGCTCGGCATTCCGCTTTGAATAGCAGTATAGCAGTAATGAATGTACAAGATAATAGCGTTTATATCGCTAGCAAAATTTTGCATTTGATGATGTAGTTTTGAAATAATGGTACGTGGCACAAGGTATCTTTTGGTACGTAATTTACCAGAAAAGTCAACCGAGGAAAGTATTATCAACCATTTTCAACGGTAAGTGCATTTTATATTGGCGCAAGGCGAGTGTATAACTGATAGGAGCCATATTTGAAACGCCTCGTGTGTGCTGGCTTTACTGACAATAATCATCCATACGGTAAAAGCTTGTCCTTTCTTGTCAACAAAAAATGGTAACGTTTATGATAAAAGAATGTACATTTGTGCAAATTTATGATTACTGTTACAGACGAAAAGAATGACGAACTGCGTTCATAATTATCTGCAGTCGTATCAAAACATTGTACTCTATCGGGTCTACACGCTTGGAAACATCGTTCTAGTTATATCGGGGTATCGAGTCAGTAGATTGGTGATATTTATTTTCGCATGGTACATGTAGCAAACTATATGGTTAGAAATAGGCGTTGCCACATTACAATATCGAAATTGTACAATGTGTGTCAAACGATATTCATATTATAAACTAAACGTGTTACTATTATCAAAAATACAGCAAGTTTGTTATTTTGATTTCACACAATCTATCCACACATTTATCAAAAACAGTAATTCGACGAAAATGAATAAATTATTTAGGTCAAATAACGGTATTTAGGTTGTAAATAATATAACCAAACTGAGTTGCAACAATGTATCTTGAATTGTAGAGTGCAATATTCAATATATACCCCTTAATATATTCTTGTATGCTACTAGGTACATGTATGGTATACACTACACCACAATACAATACAATGTTTATTGACAGTGTATTCATATTCATTGCGAGGAAATAATCAAAATATCACAAGAAATATAATGTACAGTATAATAATTTGTGATACTGTATATTATATTTTATTATTTCTAACCAATGTCATAAAAATATTAGTCAAAAGAATCTTGGTGGAAATATGGCCATAAATTACATGTTTCTAAAATTGAGAATGAAATTGAAATACTGAATAATATATGATTTGAGTTATTTACAGTAAACCTTGTGTTTTAACGCAGTGGATACACACTTAAATTATATGATTAACCATTTAAATAATAAAATCATCAAAATAAGATATGGCGAGCAAATAATAAGAAGTGTAGTAACTTTTTACCTGTATATTGCAAGGGCAAAATTGTCAATAAGCAGTGTCTGAAAAAAGGACTTACTTGCACTCGAAAAATCAATGATTTTTTTTTTTTTTTAGACTTTATATCTAAGTCATCTATTTTGATCATATTCCCATGTCCATGTTTAAGTATGATGTTTTTACTACATGTGTAGCAGAGAATCTTTGTAGTATTATGACATAGAAAGTTATATGTATATAGCAAAATGGCTTCAATAGTCCAAATTGTCGTGAACTCAGTTCTTTATCAAGGGCGTTATTTTGAATAATTTCTGCATATCTATAACCACTGTAGGAGTGATTTCAGAATCTGTCAACCAATTTTTATTTTAACGCTATAACTTTCCCGATCCCCTTTTAAATTAGATATACCTATAAATAGGAACACCCAAGCTTGAAAATGAAAATTTTGAATAAATTTTAGGATGTTATATGTATTTGATAGTAAGGCAGGCATATTCTATTGATCTGCATGTATAAGGGTGTACCCTGAATATTTTTTGTGAACGTTGGCCTACACTACAGTATTATAGAGAGACGTTGAAGCAAATGAATAAGAATCACGTTTTTATGTCATTGTACATGTAATACAAAGTTGTTCAAGTTGATTCAAATGTGAATTTTGAGTGGAGTAGGATGTTTATTTAAGTTTAAAGAGGAATTATAACTTCAAGCAAAAAATGAAATGTAATCAATTTTGTATCATATCTTGTTTAAAGACACCCTACCTAGACTGAACTACGTCTTGGAAATCCAACCGCTATCATGTGTAATAAATCTTAAAACTACCGAATCAGTAATGGATGAGCAGAGGTTAGGACTGTGTATTGCGGCCAGCCAAAAATCATATTGCAATATATTGTGATACTTGACAAAAAGTATTGCAATATATTTCATTATTGCAATACTTCGATAAAGTCGGGTTTTATCAGAAAGCACAGTTTTATTTTGAATAGTTTTATTGTTTTTACAACTTTGGTATTGGATACTTATTTTTTTAATGCAAAGCCTATAATATGACTGAATTATGTGAATACATATTTCTTTTTATAGGATTTTACAACTTTGGTCTTGTCTTTGCAGACTTATTGTAAAGCCTAAATAATATGACTTATTATGAAGTCTTTATCTAGCTTACATTTGAATATAAAATAAAAGTAGAAAAATATCGATACGATAAAAATGCATCAATACAGTGTATTGCAATATATCGATATAGCAATATTTTTTGACAGCCCTAGCAGAGGTGGCTCAAATTTGCATACAATGTAGGCCTATGTCGCTGTATAAGCTATCAAAATATGAAATGTTCTTATTCCTCTTTAAACTATGTACTGGTTTGGTAGGGTATTCTTTTCTACCTTCAAATAAAAAGACTTCTAAATATATTGTTCATCCATCAATCACTTCAATTAACATCTCTTAAATGTTGATTTATTTTGCATTAATGGCAATTATATAGGTTTAAAATGAGAATTAAAAGAGTTGTTTTAAATAATGAATGACTTCTATCATGGTGTGTTTTGGGATATGGCTGAAACAGTAAATTACTATATAAAATGTAGTTTAGCTCTGCCTGTAGGCTACAAAAGTTGTTTTGTTATTCAAGTTGGTGTTGAAACTCCACAGAGCAAAACCATCTTAAAATAGATCCTTTCTTCAGCCTGCTATTGTAAACTGGTTGATAATGACCGTTGCCATAGAAACATGGATTAATGGTATTTGTATTACAGCCTCTAGCCAATGAAAGGTTTTGGCTGCCTGCCAAGTAATCACCTCTTGAAATTATAAAGCTTTGCTGGACTGGTTATATATTATGTACAGCTACAATTCCCAGTTCGGCTTTATTCTCTATCCTTATATTCAGCTGTTTTAATTGACGTTTCTTGCTTTAAGAAGGTTTCTTTTTATTGTGACCTGGACTGCTTGTGAAATCTCACAATAAGAAGTATTGATTATTGATTTTCATGAAAGCACAAGAGAATCCATTTTAGCTACACAAAAAAACAAGCTTTGGCTTGAGAATTATATTGAGTAACATATGTTATCGGTAAACGCCCATGGTAAGGTGATAAATATGCTGAAAATAGAGCTTTCTTATTGCATTAATATCTAAGACTTCTTGCCCACTATAAAGAATAGGCAATCAATAAGGAGGGAAAAGGGGTTTAACATCTTTACAACACTAACTTACTCATTTTAGAGCCAAATGTTATATCATTTCAGTAATTGACTTGATAGCAGATTCTGCTCCGTCATGTACATACACACATTGTATCATACTTGCATAGAAAACAAGCCATAACATCTACATCACTGCCCTCCATCAACATTAATGTCTTTATTTGTCTTTTCATACATTAAAGCTTTCTTATGAAGTTAGCAATATAGAAATTTTTACTAGTAGTGCCTGGTTTGGTTTTGAACTACTAAAACATTCCACCTTTTTTTTTTAAGACCTTGAATTAAATCCATACAAGTATTATTGTAAGACTATCTTAATTTAAGGAAATCGTGACTTTGACTTAATATTACTTAGTTTTATTAGGTCATACTTCATAAGTGCAACCATAACCTAGGTCAAATTGATAATCCCCATATATGAACTTGTGACATGTATTATAATTTATAACCAGTTATTAAATTTAATACTGTACTTGAAAGCCTAATGTTCTTGACTAGATTAAAGAGCTTGAAGAAAATGAACCAAGACCCCTATTCACTAAAGAACGTAGCAGAAACAAATAAAAGACATGTATTTTTTGGAAAAGTATATCTTTTATTTCTGATAAAAATGAAACTTATTACATTGTTACACTGGGTTTCCAAACATACCGATGTAATTTCCACCTACAGTATTTTCAAGAATAATTGCTAATTCCCATATTTACCAGTATAAAAAATGGAATAGAAGACCTAAAACACAGGTTTTTTTTATAAACAATATTTTTATTCAGTAAATATCAGAATTTGAATCGGGAAACAGGCTATGCCTACATGTAAACCCTCTCTCTAAAACATAGTTCATGCACTGAACACGTGATATAAATTTATCATTATGAAATTCTACTGTAATCAACAAAATGTTATTAAAGTCAATTTTGTAGAACCAAATCATGAATCTTTTTTACTTTTCATTACAGATATGGTAAAATACAAAGTGTAAGAGTCCATAATGGCAAAGAAAATGAGGGGGGTGCCACTGTGGCATTTATGGACATCAAATCTGCAGCCAAAGCTCATAATGCAGAGAATAACATAGATGGCAGTGTGGTCCAAACCGAGTACTGTGAAGGGACAGCAACAGGCAGTGTGGTGACGAGAACCCGTGAACCAGAACGTGGAACTTACCATGCCACGACTCCACGAAGTAGTAGCAGCACCACCACGGCCACATTTTCAAACTGGCAAAAGGGGTAAGTCACATGACTGGTGATGTAGTGATGTTGTCGTAATGGTCGACATTGAGTCAAGCCAATGAAAATGTTGAGGAGGCTGATTTGACTCTTGTAGTTGGTAATTTTTTTTTACAAACTTATGTAAACATTAGTTATCATTTTGTGAATGGTGAATTTTTCTGCTCATGTTGCTACCAAACACATTAACTTACACATACACTGCTAGAAAAGTGAATGAGGGTTAAACTATAACTATTAGCTTCCCCTTCATTCTGGATAAACATAACTATAGCAGCCTAGATTAGACTAGTCACAACATACACTATACTAGTAATTTATCAACTTATGTTTGCTCTGTTCTGTACTTTTATTCCAAGAGGTGACATGGCTTTGTACTTTATTAGATGTGTGTCTAAAAAAACCTAAAATATCACCGAGAAAAACTAACAATAAAAAATTGGGAGCTTTTCTGTAAATAACTCTTTGCCTGTTAATTTTATTCTTTGTTTGTGCTGTGTTTATCAGTAAATTACAGTGTGTTTTAGTTGCTATTTCAATTTTCCCGAACTCTTTTATTTTATTATACCCTTTTGTTGTGGAACTCCAATTTTTGGATTTTACTTAGATATTTTGATCTATATATATAAGCCTAACACACTCGGATATTATATATATATATATATATAAATATACACTGCCACCTCTTGGATTACCCTTGCCATGTGTTCAATGGAGTATCAAAATGCTTTCAGTCTGATTTTAGTGCCGCAAATGCCTAACTTATAATAGTAGATTGATAAGGTAAGATCTACACAAGGTTTACTAAAGACGCGATCTTTTATGGCGACAATGTCACCAATGGATGGAGTATTACAGAATTGGAGTACTGTACAAGAAAAAGTCTACCTCAACTCAGGGATTACACAGCTAAGCTTTAACAGATGTGGAAGAATTTTACCTTGGAGTATACATGTTGGACTACATCACAGTATATAAAAACGATCCCCCTAGGACTAGCAGAATAATGGAGTATTATAATAATACACTGTATCTTGGACTAGCTGCTCTGGATATTATGCCGGATTAACAAAGGACATAGCAGAATTTTGGAATTACTTTAGCAGCGTGGAATAATTTAAAATGAGCTTATGTATATGTACATGAATGCCATGGAGTATTTCTTCAATTCTAAATCTCTACTGTGGACTACACTTACTGGAAAACTTATTAGCTGTTGAGGACGAAATGTATGTAATATCTAGCTATTATACTATGGAATAGTAATAGATTAGCTGTTGGAGACTAACTAGCTATTGGAGGCTATTTACATGTAGCCGTTAGAGGATTTCACATATATTGGGGATCTTATTAGCTGTTTTAGGACACAATATTTTACTTTTAAAGACTAATTATCTATTAAGGACTAATTAGCTGTAATCCATTCTATAAGAACTTGATCCTGCGTTATTGATGACTGTTGGGGGTGGAGTATTCACGTATTTAAAATGAAATTTGCTTTTAAATACAAAAAATTATATGTATGAATATGTTTTGAATCTCTGACCACCTTATCAAAATCACAGGAACTGAATACATGTAAGATTATTATGTTTTCAATAAAAAGAAAAATACAGTTGAATCTTAAAAGTATCACATACCCTGGTCCAACAAATATTCAGAAAGTATTCTTACTAAATGGAGTAAATCAGATTGAAAAGAAGGGTACACAAATCCTAATTTATATTATTGTGAATCCAGGCATTTATATTACAAATCTTCAAAATATATGTTTCCTTCATACCTCAATTTGAACATCAGGTTATATGTATATAGAGATTCTATTTCTAATTGCTGGTCTGATTCTGATCTGATGTTATTCAGTACCAGAGCTACTGTAACTCTTATTCCATGTCTGCATCAGAACTTATCTGAAGAAGAAAATGAATATGATGACATTTATAGTTTGACATCCTGTAATGCACCTCCAGTTGAACACATCATTCTGATCAGCAGGCATTGCCTTCAGCAGACTTGTCTAATCCTGGTACCCCAGACTAAATAAATATATTGTACTTTTATGATAAAGTGCATCCACTGTTGATATACATGTACAGCAGTCTCCTGTGAATTTACACAAATGGCAAGAATTTTATTTTAATACTATTATGTAATATATATGTTGTACGGTAATAATTGATGTTATTCGAAACACAATCAGTAATTGTGTTTTTTATGAATTAAATATAGAAAGCACACATAACTCATATTTCTTGATTCAGTAATATACCATCAATGCACATGTAATTGGATAATAAGAGCTCATTCATTAGTCCTTTAAAGGGACATTATCACTATCAATAATGATCAAGAAATTACTTTTATAATATAATATCTATTCACTTATCTGAACTTTTAGAGTAAAAGACACCAAATTGGTGATAAACTTGGTGAAAGGAGCACACTGTAAATAATAAATGTACTGTAACCATAACACTAATATTAAAAAACCCTCTAAACTGACCTAATTATTGAAAAGCCTAGCATTGTACCTTTAGTAAAGAATTTTGTTTGTGCATTTGCTGAACACTGTGAAAAACACTACACAATGTAATGTGTAGACGATTGATGAATGTTAAATGTATATCTCACTGATTGGTTGCATATACAAATTTCTCCCAAATTTTGCACACAATCAAAATTGAAAACACTGATATAGTCTGTATAGCCAATTCATACCAAATCAAAATAAATAATTTTTTTACTGATCCACGGAGATCTAAATAAGTGCAAATGTCTCTCAATTAAAACCAATAGATTACATTCCACCCCCACCCCCATTCAAAATTTAACCTTTTACAATGGTCCTTACACAAAATAAAAACCCCAAACAGACGACATGTTATTACTTATAAAAGGCGATTACTAGTTGCAAAAAAATATAATACAAGCTGTTTAAGAAAAGTTGAACACTTGCCAATTAAAATAGATAAAAATATCTGAGGTTCATCCAGGTCTTTGCTTAATTAACACAAGACCAAAACTCATTAGACTTTACCTTTTAAAACAAAGTTTTATTATTTTGTCAAAACATCATGAAACTAATTAACAAAAACAAAGTGTGTACTGACATTAGATGTTTGATTTTGTAACTTAAACATGAATAATCCAATTTGACGACACTTTATTTTAAGCAAATTAAAGTACAGCCATTGTAACCATAGATAAAATTCCTGACAGATTTCATAAAGATTCTCATTGAAATAATTCTAGGTTGTACACAAAATTGAGTTAAAGGTATTTTGTAAAGCCTACTTTTCAACAATACATATACATGTGCGTGTATTAAAGTAGCTAAGTCTCTAACTCAATATCATCCAAAGTCTTACACGTTGAAAATACGAATTATTTGTCAATTCAAATCAACATTGATGTTGTGATCTTACCAGGAAAAGGCAGGCTTCTGATATCCAATATTTAAGACAAAATAAACATTGTACCCTTGGTACACGAATCATGTACAAGAGTGTGTTTTAGCGTCATTTGCAACAAGTGACCAGAAAGAACGAATCTAGATATATTCAACTGGAGAGCCTGCTCAATAGACTGGAATAACCAGACGCTAGAAATTGCCATAGGGTTGAGACACATGCAGTATTTCGCTGGACATAACTGATTTGAAATTAGAGTCAAAACGGAAACAATTAAATGTAAATCATTTTATATACAATCAGATTACATTATTATATGCGTTGCTACCCATTTGGGTCAATTTCTAGGTCCCAAATATTAGCGATTTAGCTCCTTTAAACTAATTCAATGTTGTGTTTTCTACAGGCATAAAATAAAGGAAATATGTGTTTTTTATACGAAACCAACAGAAATTAGCACACACTACATACCAGTTGAGTTAATCATTAACTGGCACATTCTTGATGTAGAAACCACATGTGGTTATTCTCATTTACTACCTGGTTTCGTTCTGGTAATTTTCCAAGAACTTTCTTTAAAACAGACATTTTTATCAGCAATGCCAGATACATCCAACTTGTTTGAGAACTGTCAGACATTTCCCAAATTAGCTTATCAGTACCATTTGCTTTGGCATTTTGAACTTGATGTAGAAAACCAGAAAAAAACTTTCCTAGATCAGGTGCAAGTAAATTTGATTACATTATAATGGTATGGTTGTGTTGGCACGGCAAGCAATTATAATTAGATTAGAAATTTCTAATTTGATTTTTTTCCATCACATGCCTACCAGACATAAAGGATTATTTTCGTAACCATACAAGCAGATATTCAGGTCGCTGGTCTTTATTGCTTGTACTGAAATTTCACTTCAGAATGTCAAATATAAGCTAGTTTAAAAATGCCAGGTCGCTGGTCAGTATTGCCTGTGCTTAAATTTCAGTTCAGATGGACATAAACCTGTTTTAGCTAGTTTGAAAACTCAGCGTTTTTAAGCCAGGAGGGTGTAATGTTTACACATACATGTACATGCATTACAAGCAAAATTAGCTAAACTCTTCTGACAGCCATGGGTTATTATTCATGTGTTTTTCCCACCTTAGCATTCAGACAACATTTTAAAACTAGCTCAATTATAGTGTCTGGACAGAATATATGACTGTTTGCGAAATTGGAAAGTTAACATACTTCTGTAGGTGTCTTGATGTATAAAAAAAAGGGAATAATTTTATGGTCATTAGATATAATGGATAAGACTGTCACATGATTACGTTTGGACATTGATACTATGATTAGATGTAAAATCATGAATATAAGATTAACTTCTCAAGTTAATGACTGAAACACTGATAAGCTATCAATAAGCTTATAGCTATAGTCCAACAGTGTTTCCTAAAATTTGCATCACATATAAACAAATGGTTGTAAAACTTTCAATATTGATAAATGCGGCTTGTATGTGGGTTGCAGAGGTGATCTATTTTGTGTCTTTGTCCATGTCATCTTTATTTTTTAAAACTTGTAATCAAATTGATTCTTATCTAGTATGA